ATGCATGAAAGTTTTTTCGGTATAACCTGTTTTGATTTCTTTCTTAGCTTTTTTTCAAGTAATTAAATTTTTATTTAGGTTCATCATGATAATTGTTTTTATAAAACTTAGAAGAAAATATAGTTATTCTAGAGTACTATATAGTTAGTAGAAAAAAGGAAACTGGAGACTCTGACTTCTACCTAGGCATTCTTTTAATAGTACATTGTAGTTTTGGGAAAAAATATGGTTATTGGGAATAGAAAAGAGATTAATAACTGCTAGGAGTTATATAAGGATGATATATTAATGAGAATTTCTCAAATTTTTTTGTAATACTGAGTAAATGATATTCACTTTTTATATAATTTCATCCCTTTTTCATAAATTTTATCATTTTTTCTCATTGCTGTTGTGATTTGTTTGGATTATATTTATTTATAATTATATATAGCATTTTAAGGCTTTTTCATGCATATATATCATATCACCAACTATATTGTAAGCTATCGGAGGGCATGAATTTTCATTTATTTTGCCTTCTATTTTGTTTGTATCCTTTTCTGCTTTCATACCCACTTGCTACAGTACTGAGCAAACAGGGCCCTCAATAAATGTCATTAACTGATAATTTTATGTTTTTCTCATTGAGCTTTTATTCTTATAACTGTGAGTAGGGTAATAACCCCTTAACTTCTGGTCTTACGAGCTTGCTTGGTTTGCACTTTAAATATTCTCTTTCTTTTTTTCTTAAGGGCTTCTATCATCTCCTTGGATAATTTTGAGGTTTTCATTATAGCAATTTACTTCACCCATTATTGTCAATCATTTCTATATTTTTGTCTATCTTAAAGTTGATGATTTTTATCATAAAATTTCAGTTAAATATTTTTATGTTTTTTATCCACAGTAGGTAAATTTATTTCATTGCCTTCTCTCTTTCTTGTACCCTTCCCGTTCTTCACCCCGGTTCTCATTGCCACCTTCTACTTCAGGTCCCCAGTACCCTCATGCTGCCCTGCTTTCCCTTTCACAAGAAAATAAATTCACTGATTCTAGGCATACAAGTAAATGACCAAAGATGATATCCTCAGTGATTTAGGGAGAGAGTTGTTAAATTTTTGGGCTGTCTTATTTGCAAGTGAATCTTACTTGATTGAAAGTTGCCATGTAACATTTCTCATCCCATTCTGGGGTTCACCAGATGATAATGGCAGGAGGATAGGGCAAGCTACAAAGGGGACAGAGAACAGAAAGATGCAAGAACATTATCACTTCTAGCAAATAAAGAGCCATAAGTTTGGGTGAACTGACTAAAAAGGAATACTGAAGAGACCTCAATAATTTTAAACATGTTTTCAGGAATTCTTTAGGTATAGTATTAACTGTCCAAAAAGTGGGGAGGGATAATTATGGCTGTTTCCTAATTTATCAACACGTTTGATTCCAAATGTTTATTATTAAGTCAGAATATGTGGAATTTAAAAGCATTTCATTGCACTAATGTAGAAATAATGGTTGGGTTCCTGGTACAATTTGTTCTTGTAGCTAAAACAGGCAGTAAAATAGAGTAGAAAAAAATATATAAGGCTGAGAAGTGAAAGACAGGCTGTGTATTGTTTTTCAAGTCACTTAAACTCTGGGCCATAATTTCTGTGTCTGTATGTGAGAACATGATGGTCCTTCTCAGTTCTAAAATTTTGTGGCCACATCACAGTGGAATCTTTGTATATATAACACAAGTAGTACAGGGAAAATGTGTTTCAGATTTCAGGATGTCTGAAACACATCTATTCCCAAACTCAAGAAAGTGGAAACTTCACTGCTATCATTGAGACTCTGTAACCAAAAATAACAAAAATTAAAGCATGCACTTCAGAAGTACTGTTAAGGTTCTTTTGAAAGCTCTTCTCTGCTTTCTCTAGTAGGATTATTTTCTCAAGGCGTGAGGTCCCAAGGATTAGAGATTCCAGGTGCAGGACAAGGCTGTAGCTTCAGCTAAGTACACTCTGACTTTGGTCTCCAAAATTCTGAATTGTGAAATGGAGTCTTTGGCAGCATCTCTGCCAATGGGAAGCTGAAGGATTCCAGCCTTATCTCTGATACCTGTGCATGCATATTGATCATTGTGGTCAGCACTAGTTACAGAGTGTTTTCTTGTAGAATTAGGTGAGGCCAATTTTTCCTATGTTTACAATCATGGTTTATTTGGATTTCTCTGATTCCTAGTTTTCTGAAGCATCCTAAAGGAAGTATTAATTTATTTATGTTGGTATATAAATTTTTTTTTCCTGACTCCTTTTAGTGACCCAATGAAAAGATTAACTAAAAGATTAACTCTGGAAACACTGCACATCTGACGGATAATATATCTTTTAATTCATTCTTTATTGTACTAAGGAAATAGATATTTGCAAATTTCCTTTTATCTTTAATCACATAGAAGTTCCAGATTTAATAGAATGTGAAATGCATAAGTATTACTAAGTATATTCCTGTGGAAGGAAGCTTAGCATAGTGCTGAAGGGAATATATTCTGGAGCCAGACTACCTGGATTTGAATACTAGCTCGACCACTAACTAGCTCTGTGAGATTGTGAGTTACCTAACCTCTATGCCTTAATTTCTTCAACTATAAAATAGAAATATAGTTACCTAACTAAACAGTCATTATGTAGATTAAGTGATTTAATATTTGTTGACTTAGAACAAGGTCTTTCACACTGTAAGCACTATATAAGTGTTTTTTGAATAAAATAATTTTTAAAAAGTAAAAGCAAATCTAGAACTTTTTCTCTAGGTTGCCTGCTTTAAAGGGTCATTGTACTTTGGCCTGTGGATTAACTTGTACTTTTTAGTGGAGCCTCACTGGCTTATTGCCCCAAGAAGTTCTTGCTTGGTAGAGCTTTCTTTAATACAGGTAGTCCTTTCTTGACTTCAGAGGGAATTTAGGAATTATTTAATAAATTATGAATATCTTTATAATTATATTTCCTTTGATAGTCATTTTACCTTAATGAGCTATTTAAAGATTTTGCTTTCTAAAATGAAATAAAATATCAGTACACGTAATTATATTTAGGGGTTATCTGTTATTCTACATCAGATTTGGAGGTGATTTAATAAAACTTTACAGATAAATTCTAAGAGGTTGTTGGTAGAAACTTGAAGTCTAGGTAGAATAGGTATACTGAAAATGGGCTCTAGTTAATGTAAATGATAGCTCAATGCAGTATTCCAAAGTCCTGTGAAATTCTGAAAAACAGCGTGAAGGTACAATATTAAAACTTCATGCTAAAGAACATAAATAAAACCAAAAACACCCTCCTCGTGTTTATAGAGGACATTGCAACTATAAGACGACCTTCATATACATTATTAATATTTTGAGGTAGGAAAAAAGTTATCTCTGTTTTACTTCTCAGTAAAACAGAGGTTCAAAGAAGTTTAGGAACTAGATCATGTTTGTTAAGTACCTAACCTAAGAGATTTCAGTTTCGGCCTGTTTGGCATTTTTGAAAGAATAAAATTTTAGAGTGAAACTTAAGGTAATAGATTTTTAGAAAGCTATAGTATACATAGGAATTTGGATTCTAATGTATAACTTTAAATTATATAAACTTATATTTTCAGACGATTATGATAGTAACACCTTAATCCATCAAAAATAAGGTATTGGGTAATTGTCATTGTGAACCAGAAAGTGAGAAAAATAATTTTTTAAAGCTGCAGAGGAAGGCCAGGCGCGGTGGCTCACGCCTGTAACCCTAGCACTCTGGGAGGCCGAGGCGGGCGGATTGTTTGAGCTCAGGAGTTCGAGACCAGCCTGAGCAAGAGCGAGAGAGACCCCATCTCTACTAAAAAAATAGAAAGAAATTAGCTGGACAACTAAAAATATATATAGAAAAAATTAGCCGGGCATGGTGGCGCATGCCTGTAGTCCCAGCTACTCGGGAGGCTGAGACAGTAGGATTGGTTGAGCCCGGGAGTTTGAGGTTGCTGAGAGCTAGGCTGACGCCACAGGCACTATAGCCGGGGCAACAGAGGGAGACTCTGTCTCAAAAAAAAAAAAAAAATGCTGCAGAGGAGCCAAAAGATGTCATAAAAAGTCATTTACTCAAAAGGGGCCCTCTTAGGCTTTGATTAAAATACTTTCCATTCTTGTCCTAATATAATTTTAATACTCTTGAGCAGTTTTATTTCAAAACTTGTAGTTTGCAGCAAAATTAAAAAAAGAGGGATTGCTACTGGCAGATAAACTGACAACAATGCAAGATAGCCAAGGACTCAGAAAAGCCAAATAAATCAAACTCCAACACTGTTTGGAGCCATTTAATATAACTACTCAAAGAGGCTTTGAGGATTTTACTGTCTAATAATATTATGTAATTTTTTTTATTTTTGGTAAAGAAAAGGTTAAATTTTGATTTGTATACTCCATTTAGGAAGTCCAAAGGTAAACTATTTGCAGAGAAGCAAAGAAATTTACTAAATTGTTAAATGTTGGGATTATGAGTAACTTTTATTTTCCTTTTATTTTACAATTTTTATAATTCCAGTGTGGATTACTTTTATAATTAGAAAAATTTTGGTTTTTAAAGGTATGAAAATGTATACAGAAAGATCTCTACCAAAACTTTAAAGGACTAACCTTCTTCTAAATATAAATAGTATATTTATATAAAAAGATTCACTCTTCAATGTTTGTGTGTTCCTAAAGTTTTGCTAGTTATATCATCTAGCTCTATTTCTGCTTGCCTATCTATCCATCCATCTATCTCTATTTCTGCCTATTTATCTGTCATCAAAAGATTTGTTAAAATTAAGTACTCTTCCAAAATAGTTATATACTTTTCACTCTTCAGCCAAGGAACTAAGAAATAGAACACTTTTTGCAGTAGGTGTAAAATAACAAGCAGAAAACTATGTTAAGGCTGAGAAAAATTGAGACATCATTTAAATGGATTTCTGCTGTGATTTTAAAAATAATATTCTTGATACAGAATTATTTCACTTACAGATGATGAAGAAAGAGAGCTTCAAATGGATCCTGCAGACTATGGGAAGCAACGTTTCAATGATGTCCTTTAAGTCCTAAAGGAAAACTTCAGAAAACCTAAAGTGCTGTAAAATGGAATCATTTCTACTTTGTCATTTTGACTTTGTTGTAAAGATCAGTGTATCAGTTGTAAAGATACATTGGGATGGATTTAAGGAAAAACTTTAATGATGGAATGTACCCATGTACATATGTGAACTTTTTCATATTGTATTAGCAAAGCAGAGACTTTTTTGGTTATGATACAGTTGAGCCAAAAACAGTTAATCCTTGCATTCAAAGCAAACTAATGTATATTTCACATTTTATTGAGCCTAATTATTTCTACAAATAGATAAACAGGAGAAAGTGGTTGTACAGGTTATGTTTCACGTAGTAACCACTGTGAGAACAGGTATTCAGCTGAAAACTTTTTTTACACCAATATATTCTTATTAGCCCAACAGGTGTTCTGTTCTAGCTACCCCTCATTTCATGCTTTTCAAGGAGTTATAACTAGAATAGTTACATAAAAGAGGGGCCCATCTAGCTCTAATATCTCAGGATTACAAATTGATTAAGTGTTCCAGTGAAAAAAAAAAAAAAGAGGGGAAACTGGAAGCCAAACTGGACAGCATGTGTACAAAATCACCTCCATACTCCTTTTATTTTACATGAGTGCTGATACGTTTTGGCAGATAAGCTTTCAGCTGAGGCCTGATGGAAGTTGAGATAACCTGCAAAGACATAACAATATTTATAAGTTATACCTTACTTAGTTCTTGCAATTGTGGAATGCATGATTGACAATATATTTTCAATTTTTATTTTTTCAAGTAATACCAGTACTGTTTAACTATAGCCAGCACTGGCAAAACTTTTTATATTTTCAGAGTTGAAGTTGGTGAAGATATTCATGATTTAAATACCAGATCCTGAAAGTGGCTAAATATACTTTGAACTGAATCTGCAATTGGTATTTCAAAGCTTTTCTGGTAGTTTTAGTGATCTTATTTGACTAGATTTTTTTCACAAGTACTAAATAAGGAATTTTAACAGGTTTTTATTAATGCACAGATAAATAGAAGTACAGTGGGATCTATAGCTGTTTTATTAAAATAGCTTAAAAGTTTGTAATAAAAACAAATCTTTGTAATTACTTAATATGTTAGTTAAGAACCCATCAGGCTCATATTTGCTGGACTTAAAAAATTCTTTAAATGCATTTCTTTTTGAGACTATTCAGTAGAGTAAGCTAGCTAATCCTTGTTTTCTGATTTAAAGCACTTTTAAATCTTACCCTGCTCCCCTAAAACAAAAGGTTTTGATCTTAAGGGGAAATTTAAGGTTGTTAACCCTGTTTTTCAGAAGGGCTACTATTAATTGCACATAAACATAAAATGCTTCCCCCCATACTAACAAATTCTAATAAAAATTCAAACTTACAGAGGTTGTCCACTTGTTGAGGTGCAAAAATTTTTAAGTCTTCAGTTTGAAATTATTCAATGACTAGGAAAAGATGCAGTAATTTACTAAAATTGTTTTTCTACCATATCAAAGTAAACAATTCACACTTTTGTTATCAGTAGGGTCAGGCCTACAATGAATAGGTATGGTGGTTCACAGAATTTTTAAAATGGAGTTAAAGGGAAATGATGTACATCTTTTGGGCATTAGGGTGGGGAAATAAATCTAAAAATACTCCTAGTAATACTTCATATTTAATACTGTAAAATCATTACAAATGAAAACCATGAAATTACCTGACTCTAGTTCCTTTATCATAAAAACAATCACTTGGTTATATTGTAGTAATTACTTACACAGCAAAATTTCTTTAGTTAGCAGCCTAGACACTTTATAAAGTGAGAAATCTTGGACCAATTGATAGTATTTCTGACTATTAATATTATAGTGCTATAAAATAATATGTGAGTCTCAAAGTTCTGACATTATACAGTCCGTATTAGACATGCTGTTTTTATAATGTTTTACTTCTGCCTTAAGACTTAGGTTTTTAAAATGTATTTTTGCTCTGAATTAAGTGTTAATTTAATGGAAACTCTCCTTTTGAAATCATCACTTACTGGGTTCTAATAAATTAAAAATTAAACTTGTTTTACTGTTTTGCTGATTCTGATACATATACAAACATCGCACTCCTGTGATGTAAATAGTTACATTTTAACTAAAATATGAGTAAATTTAGCACTCATTTTAAATTAAGCTAAACTAGAACACCAGAAATTTTTACAATAAGGCTCTTTACTGTAGGGCTAGTTTATTCAACAATATTGAATGCCTATTGTGTGCTCAGCATTGTTCTATGTAGTAAGATAACTGGGTAAGATAGACAAGGTCTCTGTTCTCTTGGAGCAGACATTCACGTGGGGGCAGTCAAACAAGACACATGTAAACAAATGAGCCAGATAATTTTAAATAGTGTTAAAGAGCTATTAAAAATAAAACAAAGTTCCAAGGTTTCAAATAGTTAGGTTTTCACTCAACTAAAACATTACAGTTGTGTGGCTGGAGTGTAATGAGCAAGGGGAAAAGAAAGTGGCTGAAGAGGTATGGAGGGGACAGGATAGTGAGAGCCTTGTAAGTTTAGGTCACTTTTACTGACCTATAAAGTGAAAACACAGAACAAAAAATATACATGGAAGGATGATTCCAGAGGAAATGCAAATATGACTTCTAAATCATTTTTTAAAATGACACACTATTTTTAAAAATCTTAAGACTGTGTCTTTTAAACTTCTCATTTGTGTAATCGTGTAACAACAAAATTTGCTAGAATATGAGGAAAGAGAATCTATAAAAAACATGATTATGAGGGAGGCAGTCACTTACCATAATGGCTGACCTTGGAAACTTCTGTTCCCCCATGTTTGGCTGTATGTCTCCAATGAGACAAACAGTGTGACATTAATACATTTCCAAGTCTAGGATATTGAGTCTTCACATCACATGTGGGCAATCAATATTCAGTTTTAATTGCTCTACATCAAGCCAAATCAATTTCTTTTTACTCTACTCACTAAGGATTCTAAATGAAAATTCAACCAGCTAACCCAGAAAAGAGGGGAAATTTAATGGTCCATGTACAAAAACTGCATAAAGGGCAGCAGTCCCCTGGGCTTAAAGACAACTGAAACAAGGACTTGAATGCAAACTCCCATTTCTGCTTCTCTCTGCTTGTTACCTTCAGTGTCTCAGACCTGCTCCCCACTCAATGTTCTAACCATGCCTTCCAGCATATCATATTTTCTTAGTGTTTCTATCTAAGAGGGATTGTTCCTCTTCCCTTAGTTTGATTTTTTTTTTTAATTTCAGCATATTATGGGGGTACAGATGTTTAGGTTACGTATGTTGCCCTTGCCCCCACCTCCCCCCTAAGTCTGAGTCTCAAATATGTCCATCCTTCAGGTGGTGCGCATTGCACTCTTTGTGTATGCAAATACCCGTCCCCCCCTCCCCTCTCCCCCCTCCCCCTTGCCCAACATCCAATAGATGTTATTGCTATATGTGCACTTATGTGTTGACTTTTAAAAAATTGAGAGAAGGGCTGGGTGTGGTGGCTCATGCCTGCAATCCCAACACTTTGGAAAACTGATGGGGAAGGATTGCTTGAGGCCAGTTCAAGACCAGTCTGGGCAACATTGCAAGACCCCCATCTCTAAAGAAAAAAATGTTTTTAAATTAGCCAGGCTTGGTGGCGTGTACTTACAGTCTTCGGAGGCTAAGGCAGGAAGATTGCTTGAGCCTAGGAGTTGGAGGCTGCTGTGAGCTACGGTCTCCCCACTGCACTTCAGCCTGGGCGACAGAGCGAGACTCTTTTCCCAACTCCTTCCCACTCCCCATGCTTCACACCTCCAAGTAGTGTAATTTGACTAGCACTCTTGGATTAGTAGCAACTATGATATAAAACTAGACAAGATATATTAGGCAACTATTTTCAGCTAGCACAAGACTACCATCTCTGACAGAAGGGAAACTTAACAATGAGCCCCACAATGACCCAGCTTCCTGTGGTGTAAACAGGCTGAAATCAGAGAAGACCATAGTGGTTTTACTGAGCTGAGAAGACAGAGATCATAGTGAGGAGCAGCTGAAACATTTGGAATCTATGGGGTGGGGCATCAGAGAAGAGGGAGCTGTTCATAGAGGTGGCCCCCAAAAAGTCCATGGCTGAGGGCTGGGCTGTCCATCCTCAGAGCAAGACCACCTGATGCTTACCAGATAGTAGTTGCTACAGGGGTTGAGAACAGAATAGAGATACCAGGTCAATAAGTGTTGGTGCAAAAGGGACATTGGATTTCTGGGATTGCCAAAGTGGAGATCTCTTTAACAATTGTGGCAGCAGCTGGAACACTCAAAAGGTGGGAGTAAAGACCATGCCATACAGTAAAACCTACTCTAGACTTCCCCAGCAAAGCCTAAAATCAATTCTTGACATGATTGGCAGGGCAGGCTGGGCGCGGTGGCTCACACCTGTAATACTAGCACTGTGGGAGGCCGAGGTTGGAGGTTTGCTTGAGCTCAGGAGTTCAAGACCAGCCTGAGCAAGAGGGAAACCCGTCTCTACTAAAAATAGAAAAATTAGCCAGGCATTGTGGCGCATGCCTGTAGTCCCAGCTACTAGGGAGGCTAAGGCAAGAGGATCACTTGAGCCCAGGAGTTTCAGGTTACAGTGAGCTATGATGATGCCACTGCACTCTACCCAGGCAACAGAGCTAGACTTTGTCTTTAAAAAAAGTCTTAAAAGAAAAAAAGATTGGCATGGGAAACACATTATGGAGATTAAGGATTGAGTCTTATCAAGTTAGGACTTGCAAAACTTTTTTTCTTTTGGATTAGAAGTTGGAGATAGGGATGTGAAGCCGGAAAAGTCACTTCCCCCCCCCAGCCTCAGTTTCCCCACCCAGGAACATTAAAAAGTGGAACCAAAAATGGGGAATGCTTCATGAATTTGCGTGTCCTCCTTGTGCAGGGGCCATGCTAATCTTCTCTGTATCATTCCTATTTTAGTATATGTGCTGCTGAAGGGAGCATGTTGCAAAACTCTAGGCCTTCTGTAGCTATGAACTAACAAAGTACAACACCAAGCATATATATATAAGTTTAGGTGACCACTCAGTGACTGAAATGCCTACTAAAAAAAGAATCATCAGTTTTCAGAGAAGATAACAGATTCCAGAATCTCTACAACATATTATTTACAATTTCCAGTGTTCAGTTAAAAATGACTAGACATATAAACAATAAAATATCCATAGTTTTAAACAATTGAGATGGACCTTTTTATTGTTTGTTGCTTAAGGCAGCTGTTATAAAAATGTTCAAAGAATCTCAGGACATGGAAATTATAAAAAATTTAATGGAATTCGAGAACTGCAAAGTACAATAACTCAAATGAAAAATTCATCAGATGAGTTTAATAACAGATTGGAGATGGCAGAATAATGAACTTGAAAACGTACAAATGGAGTCATTGTATAAGTATTTGGAAATACAGGGTTGAAATGAGAGACCCAGAAACGTGGATTTGGGATTCCATCTGTCAAAATTAATGAACAGCCCTTAAGATGCTGTCCATCCCACTCCCCACCACAAGATTCCATCATGGCAGAACAACGATCATTCTTTCAGCTAGTTTTCTTTTCTTTTTTTTGAGACAGGGTCTTGCTTTGCTACCGAGGCTGGAGTGCAGTGGCATGATCATAGGTCACAGCAATCTCAAACTTCTGGGCTCAAGCGATTCTCCTGCCTCAGCCTCCTGAGTAGCTGGGACTACAGGTGTGTACCACCACACTGGCTAAATTTTCCTATTTTTGGTAGAGATGGAATGTTGCTCTTGCTCAGGCTGGTGTCTAACTCCTGGCCTCAAGCAGTCCTTCCACCTCAGCCTCCCAGTGTGCTAGGATTACAGGCATAAGCCACCACGCCTGACCTCAAAAGATTATTTTTTAGGGCAATTTTGTGTTCAAAGTAAAATTGAGCAGAAAAAACAGAGTTCCCACATACCCCCTTCTTACACACATACACACAGAGCCTCACTCACCATCAACATTCTGCACTAATATACAATGTTACAGTTGATGAACCAACATTGACACATCACAATCAACCAAAGTCCCTAGTTCATGTGAAGATTTATTATTTGTGTTACATTCTATGGCTTTGGACAAATGTGTAATGACATGTATCTACCATTATAGTACCATGTAGAATAGTTTCATTGTCCTAAAAATCCCTTGTGTTTCACCTATTCCTGCTTCCTTACCCCTAAATCCCTGGTCACCACTGATGTTTTTACCGTCTCTATATATAGAATGTCATATAGCTGGAATCATACAGTATATAGCCTTTTCAGGATGGCTTCTTTCACTTAGTAATATGCATTTAACATTCCCCCATGACTTTTCATGACTTGATAGCTCATATCTTTTTAGTTGAATAATATTCCATTGTATGAATGTACCACAGTTTATCCATTACAAAGGACATTTTCGTTGTTCCAAGTTTTGGTAATTATGAATAAAGCTGCTATAAACATTCATGTGCAGGTTTTTGTGTGAACATGTTTTTAATTCATTTGGATAAATTCCAAGGTGCAATTTTTTTTTACTGTAGTAAGATATACATAAAATTCACTATTGTACCTATATATATAAAGCATACAATTGAGTGGCATTAAGTACATTCACAATGTTATACAACTATCGCCATTATCTAGTTCCAGAACTTTTTTAACACCCCAAAGGGAAACACTGTACCCATCAGGCAGTCACTGAAGTATTAATTTTTAAATGTAATTAAAATTAAGTAAAATTTAAAGTTAAGTTCCTCAGTCACACTACCCACCTTTCAAGTGCTCAGAGGCCATATGTGGCTAATGGCAACTGGCTACTGAATAGCACAGGTCTAAGGGAAGAGAATTAGAGGCAGAGGAAACAAGAAATACAAAGTCTTTGTTGCAGGAATGCATTTTCTCAAACAACAGTTAGTTGGCCAGTATGACTAGAGTACAGTAAGAAAGAGGTAGGCAATGTAGTCAGTGAGGTAGCTGAGTCAGCTAATGAAGAGCCTTCCATGTCTCAGTGAACTTTAGATTTATGGGGGTGATGGAAAATTTTACAAATTTAAAATCATCACTGGCTGCTGTGTTGAAAAGACTAAAGGGGTTCAAGGGTGAAGCAAGAAGACTACAAAAGTTGTTAGGGTATTACAAGTGAAAGATGATGGTCTCGAACTAGGGATGTAGCTGAGGTGATGACAAGTGTTTAGATTCAGGATATCTTTTGAAAGTTTAGTTTATTGTACTTTTCAATTGGACCTTGGGTATGAGAAGGAAAAATTGTATTCAGAAAGGTGAAGAACACTAAGGGAGAATCAGGTCTGAGAGAAAATTAAGAGTTTAGTTTTGACTATATAAAGTTTCAGATGACCATTGCCATCAATAAGTGCAATATTGGAACAAAATGACAGTTTTGATATATTTTTGATAATATATGATTTTACAATATTTAATATGAATATTGCTGCCTTAGTGAGTTGCCATAAAGAGAGTGATAAAGACATATACATCCTAGAGAGAGAATATGAGAATAGATTACGAAGTACATATACCTTATATTTCAGGTAAAAGGTAAATAAATTCCATATATTCTGAATTATGGACCTACTGAAAGACTACTGAAGATCTGAGATACTATTACATTATTTAATGAACATCCTATTTCATTAGTGTTTTCATATAGGAGTAGTTTTAAATAGTTTAAATTGAACATGCAAGATAGGTGCAGTGGTGTGTGTGTACATGTATGTAGTCCCAACTACTTGGGAGGCTGAGGTGAGAGGATTGCTTGAGCCCAGGAGTGTAAGTCTAGCCTGGACAACATAGTGAGGCTTCAACTCTTAAAAAAAGAAGAAGAAAAGAAAAGAAAAATGAAAAAAAGCATGCAAAAATACCTGCTACTAGTTTTTTTTTTTTGCATTATATTTTTCCCATGGCCACTGATTTGCATCTACTTCCCAGTTTTTAACAGTTCATATTTTTAGGTCTTTACTTTATTCTAAAATTTTGGATAAGGTTGAAAGGTGGTCTTACTAATGACCTATGTAACAGAGGAAAATAAACTATCAAACAGAAAGTAAGAAAAATAAACTCACAGCACATAATTCCCCCTTTGGAAAAAAAAACCTCACAACTACTCTCCTTGTTTTGTTTAATTAAAACACCTGTGGCCTAACTCATTCTCTCTAAGACTTCATTTTCTCAGCCTTGAAAAGCCTTAAGCAGACAGTAGGGGTGTGAATTCCCTGCTCCAACTCTGCCTCAGTTCCTGCAAGAAACACAGTTCGAGGACTCAGATAAACTGGCTTCACAGAGAAAAGGAAACAAAAAATAGCAAAAGCAAACACCACCGCTCTGCAGCTGTTCCTGTTATCAGTCTGCTAAAGCAGAGAAAAAAGCCATCTTTACCCTTTAAAACACAGCAGCTTTTCCTCAACGGCCTGGCATTTTCACTCCTTTCTCTGTGTGCCATGGCCACTCCCTCCTTCTCTCTCTCTCTCTCTCTTTCGTTCTTTCTTTCTCAGGAAAATAAATAAACTTTATACTTCTTTGTATCCTAAACTGTGTGAGAATTGTTTCTCCAACCATCCATGAACACCTAGTAAGTTTCCAACCTAACAAAGGTTACTGAAACTTAAAGACATTAACAACCACCATTTAAGGAGCAAGGGAAGCACCTTGCTAAGTGCTTTCATAATCTAATTTGAGCTTCACAACAATTCATTTAGATACTACAGAAAAGAGACTAGTAGAAAAAGACCATGGGCTGTAAATGATAGCTAAGGTGAAAAACAGAATGCAACAGTTATCCTTTGTGAAAAAAATGGTGTTAAAATGTTAAATAAATTGCAAAAGGATTTAGTCTTACTACCAGCAACCTTTCTAAACAGTGATAACAACATTGCCAGAGGAGGTGGTGTAATGAGCAGATGGAGGCTTGAGACCTGATTGTATTTACTAGCTGATTGTGTCTTCGAATAAGGCATCTGTTTTTCTTTTTTCTTTCTTTTCTCTTTTTTAAAATTTCAGTGTCTTCAAGGGTATGCATGTGAACAAACACCACACCTATTCTACCTACCTCACAAGGTTGTTGGAAGAATCAAAATGCATATAAAAGTATTTTGTAAATGGCATATTTTAGTTAAGTTTTAAAAGCATGAAGGTTTGAAATAACTACTTCTTTGAACTTTTTCCCAGAAATATTGTTAATTTTATCTCATTTAAAATAAATTTAGTAATAATGGGGGTAATTATTTAACTTACTGCTTTCTTTTGCTTTCCATGATACACACTGGATAATCAGTTGATTTCCATTCAGCTTTTCAGGAATGTATTATTTTGTGGACTATAACTAGTTTTGTGCTGTGTATACCACCATCCCTCAATAAATGTCACATTCAAAGCATTTTTGTACTGGGAAGATTTAGGGTGAAAATGAACTCTGAGCTCTGACAGGATCTGTTGTATATAAGGTTTTCAGAAGACAACCCACTTATGTGCTCCATGCTTTGAAACAGAAAATCAGATTCACAAGGGTATGTTATTTCTGCTTACCTCTCAGCCTCATATCTTGCCATCTTCCCCCCTTATCCCCCAAATCCTCTTTCCCTGGCGCACAGAACTACTTCCCCAACGCTCAATACAATTTCATCTTTGGACTTTTTCGTTTCTTGTTTCCTTTATCTAGACACTCTTCCCTTATGTCTCACTTAGATGTCATCTTATGAAAGCCATCTCAGACCCCCTCACCAGCACCCTCATGTCCTCCAATGCCTGTCATTCCACTCCTTGTAGTCACTTTATCACATCGTATTTAAATTGTTTACTTCTGTGACCACTTCAATAGACTGTGAAGTTTGGGAGACAGTTTCCAAGTCTGCCTTGTTCACTGTTGTATCCCTTGCATCTAGTATTTTTTCAATGAATATTTCTTGATCGAATGGTGAAAGTTGCTTAGCGTTTTAGTTAAAAGATAATGCTCTTCCAACCACTAGGACTGGTCGCTCTGGATTGATACATTTTCACTTTGTGGAGCTGACTGTCTTTTGACCTAAGCTTGCAGGTGGGAGCCCATTTGTCTGAAAGATCCGAGTTCTCAACCTGCAGAACTACCTCCGACACCGCGTGGAATCGAAGGGTGTGAATTTGTAGGACCGATCCAAGAGCGACTGCTATGCCCTCTAGGCAGTGAGCTGGAAAGAGGACCTTCAGGAGCCACTGAGATCCCAGGAAAGGATTGAGTGATGCCCCCGGCATCGGCCAGCCTTCTCCACAAACCACCTCCTCCAGCGCGCCAAGCCGTTAGTCCCACCCCGTCCCCTCGGCTCCACCCATCTGGCTCGCCCATATTGCTAAACCTAAGCAGCCAGGAAGTGCGACGCGTTCCTAAGTCCCGCCTCCGGGGCGAGGGCGTGCTCCCCCTCCCAGCTCGGCCTAAGCAGTTCCGTTAGCAGCGGGAGGAAAAACCGTCCTTCGGGTCCCCGCCTCTCCACTCCTAACGCTTCACTCCCTACTCCCCCTGCGACCACTACACAGCCAGCTACGGAGGCCCCTAAAGTACAAATATCCCCCTAGGCCCTTGCGTATCCTGTTAGGTTTTGTCCTTTCTTACTTCATGCGGTCCTACGGCCCTGTGTTCTATTTTTGTCAGGAATTCAAACTCGGGAGTTTCTTCCGGCGTAAGGAACTTCAACGGTGTTCACGGAAGTAAAAGTGTTTTTTTGTTGTTGTTGCCTCTGTGTCTGCCCGCATTCCTTCCCTCCCACTTCGCGGAATTGTGGCGGGAGGGGGAGGAGGAAGGCAGGGCGCCTGCGCGGAGAGGCCGCTTTCCATCCGGGTCCCTGCCCGTGCGGTGCAGCAGGTCGGTAGGCGGGAAATGGCGACTGGCTGAAGGAGCTGGTTCTGTTGCTGCTGCGGGGTAAGCGGGAAAGACACCACACATTGCGCAGTCGGGACCATCGCCGGAGCCTGAGGACACTTCTCTGTCGTCACAGTTAGGTAATCCTCTTCGTCCAGACGTTGCTGCTGCTCCCAATTTTAGTCCTTCTCCTCTTCCAGGGCCGTCTGCCGGGATCTCCTCCCCTTCTCAACCCGGTCCTCCAGCGGCTCCAGCGCCTTGGTAGGCATGTACTATTGGCGCCTCGTACGTCCACTGTGTGGAGCCGCTCTTCTCTGGACTTTCCCCTGGGAACCAAAGGGGAGCTCACTTCCCGCCAGCTTCAGCTCTTAGGCTGCGGCCTGCGTTGTGATTTCTGGGGTTAGATTTCACTTTGCTACCCACCCCCACTCTGATCTCACGTTCCTAGTCCCCAACCCTGTGGTCCCTCTGGGTACTTAAGTTAGAAGATCAGCTTTTCTAACCTTCTTGGCTCACTTGATGTATTTGGTATTTCATTCTTTCTAGTAGGGTTCTTCCAGGGGGGCGTTGCTCTATCTCAGTTTTTATAAACACCTTTTGAGAATCTGGGAGAAGGGATTTCACTAAGTTCTGTTTATCTTTGGTAGCGTTAAAATGTCGAGTTGACATTGTTACTTTTTCAAATCAAGAGTGGTAGTAAAGAACAGCCCATGTGGAAGGCCTCCGGTTTCCATAGTGGTCAGTTAAGAGTGAATCTTATTATCCATAATATTCTCTGCTTTCTTTGGATATTAAGTGCCTGTATGGGTGTTTACTTTTTCATTCTTGACCAGAATTATGTGGTAAATAATTGCATAAGTAAATCGTATTTATTTACTTCTCACCCTAGTGGTGGCTGGATGTGTGAGTGATGTTAAGCACTTTAGAGTACCTCAGGGAAGCCTAAAGAGATACTGCTCGTAAACTTCCCTGAGATCCTGAAGTGAAAAGTACTTAGTAGATGTTCCTCCGAGGCAGGGATTTATCTTTCTAATGCTAGTAAAGCAGTACCAAGATTACTGTCTAACGTGGGTATACAAATTAGTGACTTGGAATGATAGATTTATCTGCGTAATTTTCAGATTGTAGATTGCTTTATATTCCATCTCCCCGATCTTTGCCAAGTTGTAAATTTTTCTTGGTGATCCAGCTGTTACCCTTATAAAAGCAAGATTATGGCAAATTAAAGCTAGTTTTTTTTCTTTTCTTTTCTTTTCTTTTTTTTTCAACATGAAGATCAGTTGTCCATAAAGAGAATTAATGAGGCTGTTGGTATTTTTCAGAATTTGTTCTTCAGTTGTGTTGAATTTGGGGCCTTTGTAGTTGTCTTTTTTCCAGTGACCAAATTAAAATGTTAAAAAGTGGTGCATATCAGTTGATATTTGTAACTCAAAAGCTTTCAGCTTTGTAGGTCCAACTTAGAAAACTTCACTGCTGTTAGTATGATATTAGGATTAAATTTCAGAAGTAAACAGGAACACACAGACATCACTATAATAGTCCTCATTTGGTAGACTTTGCCCAAGGTCATAAAGAAAGTCAAAGCAAAATGTAGCTCTTTTGTGAAGCAGTCTTTTAGGATTTAGTTGAACCTCATATTTCTTTTCTAGGACCAGTAGAGGTGGGAAGTGGAGGTACAGGTACTTTAACTAGTGCTTAGTCAATTTGTTTTTTTTTTTGAAACAGAGTCTTGCTGTGTTGCCTGGGCTAGAGTACCCTGGCGTCAGGCTAGCTCACAGCAGCCTCAAACTCCTGGGCTCAAGCAATCCTTCTGCCTCAGCTTCCCGAGTAGCTGGGACTACAGGCATGCGCCACCATGCCCGGCTAATTTTTTCTATATATTTTTAGTTGTCCAGCTAATTTCTTTCTATTTTTAGTAGAGACAGGGTCTTACTCTTGCTCAGGCTGGTCTTGAACTCCTGACCTTGAGCGATCCTCCCACCTGGGCCTCCCTGAGTGCTAGGATTACAGGCATGAGCCACCATGCCCGGCCTCAATTTGTTTAAAAAATGGGGCCAAATATATGACTTAAAGGGATCTAAAATGTTGATGTGGCATAGGCTTTGTATTTTAATGACCTTTTCAGATATTTTATAGCATTACTGTTTTTAATAAAATTTGGTTTGCAGTTAGCTGAATGAGCATTGTAGACTATGTTTTCAAGAGTTCTCCCCAATTTTCTAATACTACATTCATTCAGTACCTGCACTCTTTCTTAAATTTTTATTTTTTCTCAGATCTTGCAGGGAAGAATCAAAACTTAAAAGCAACAGCTTTAGGTGGTATGGCCTTTAACCCTTGTAGATGTGTAGCTATATAGAAAATGGAATCCTATTTGGGAGGTTTTATTTTTCCCAAACACATTTAGTTGATTTCAAGTTTGTGATTTCCGGTCAAGTGGTTTCTTCATGAGATTATTATGTAACAGAATCCATCTAATGCAGGTTAAACTTGGTCCTGTTGTTCAGAAAGAATGTACTAGATTTGTAACTGTAGAATTAATTGTCAATTGAGTAAAATGGTATTAATTTATCTCAGTCATAGGAGACTATTCTTTGGATTAATGAGATAAATAAAGTGGATTGCCAGAATTTGAAAAAAAGCAATATCTAATTATATTTGTAATTTATCAAGTTGTTGTGAAAACATAAAGTAGAAAAAACACTCTAAGTCACAAATATCAAGTGTGCTGAGAGGACTTCATGTATGGTGTGCTCTAAGTAATTTTTCTTGGTAGGTTAAGAAGTACCTGACTATTTTAACTGAATTGGCTACAGGGGGTTATTTGCTCTACTTTGAGGATGAAGAGATTTAACAGACATGAAACTGTACAATTGCAGCTTTAGTTTCCACTTACTTGACATTTGCCATAAAGCATGTATCTAGTGGTTATATGACTACATTAATTTTTAATTTAAATTGTATTAAATTGTAATTGGCCCTACATTACAAATATGTAGACTAGGTAGTTGACTGTATGGTATAATTTGAGAATTGCCAATACCTAACTTTATTTGTATCTCTCCAGTGTTTTATGCAATTCTTTCTAAAATATCCTGTTTTAAATCACAAGTTCTCTGGAAGAGAAACTTTAAACTATTGTCTTTTATTGGCAATATTAGCACAGATTAGCTATCAAATAGACTTACTGATACCATACAAAGGTGAGGGTTTAGAGAAAAGGGAATATAGAGTTAAATTTCTATGTACTGACTGTGATCAGGAGAGGTGTAGAATATAAGATCGTTGTCTAGGGAAGACTGGCATGGTGAGAGTAGAATAATAGTGAGAAACTTGGGCCTTTTGGGGGTCCTTTGGGAACCGGGCAGTAAGGAATGGTAAGACTAAGTGTGGCCCCAAAAAGAATTGTAAGACCTTAAGGACAATTATGTTAGCATAAGGTCACAATAGGCCATTTGACTGTAATAGGGACCCCATATTTTATTGTATCCATAGCCTCCTGTATTAGATTGAAGAAAAGAGACTATGTCTAGGTTTTCCTTTCTTTTTGAGACAGAGTCTTGTTCTGTCACTCTGGCTAGAGTGCAGTGGTGTCATCGTAGCTCATTGCAACCTCAAACTCCTGGGCCCAAGCAATCCTCCTGCCTCAGCCTCCTGAGGTAGCGGGGGCTACAGGCATGCACCATGACACCTGACTAATTTTTCTATTTTGTGTGGAGACAGGGACTTGCTCTTGCTCAGGCTGGTCTTGAACTCCTGACCTCAAGAGATCCTCCTGTCCCAGCCTCCCAGAATGCTAGGATTTCAGGTGTGAGCCACTGCACCCAGCCTTTTTTTTGGCAGGGGGGAGGGGGGGGAATAATCTCTTTTGGGCTACAGTGTAGTGGTATCATCACAGCTCACTGCAACTTCAAACTCCTTGGCTCAAGTGATCCTCTTGCCTCAGTCTCCTGAGTAGCTGGGATTACAGGCTCATTCCACCACACCCATATAATTTTTCTAGTTTTTTCTAGAGACAGGGATCTCACTATGTAGTTCTGGCTGGTCCTGAATTCCTGGCCTCAAGCGATCCTTCCTCATTGGCTTCCGAAAGTGCTAGGATTTCAGGCGTGAGCCACCGTCCCCAACCTAGATTAAACACAAATCATGAATTGGCAGCATCCTTGGGGTTCTAGCAATCAGGTCTTCTTATCTTCCTTTTTTCCTTTCTTTCTTTTCTTTCTTTCTCTGAGGCAGGTTCTTGTCTTGTTACCTGGGCTAGAGTGCAGTGGCATCATTATAGCTCACCTGCAACCTCAAACTCCCAAGCTCAAACCATCCTCCTGCCTCAGTCTCCCCAGTAGCTGAGACTACAGGTACATGCCACCACACCTGGCCGATTTTTCTGTTTTTTGTAGAGAATGGGATCTTGCTGTGTTGCTCAGGCTGGTCTCGAACTCCTGGCCTCAAGCAATCCTCTAGCCTTGGCCTTACAAAGTGCTGGGATTATAGGGGCGAACCACCATGCCTGGCTGCAGTCAGGCTTTCATAATAGATATATTAATTTTTTGGACAAGGAAATGTGTTTACTGCTTTGGTTAAAGAAACCTAAAACTACTAGCAGAAGGCACTTGAATGGTTCAGAAACAATTTGGATTAAGATTTAGTAATAGCAGTTTGTATAGTTTAGGAAGAATATTTTCTTCCTTTGGATGAAAACTTATATATTGAGAAATTGGGAACAAAAAAAGCAGAGAAGTTGCTAAAAATAAATAAGAGTATAAATAACTTGCTATTTTAAGTATCTCATGTTGACCAGTTAAAGTAATCTTTAACTAGGAAATTTTCAAAGTATGTTTTATTAAAAGAAGTATATATTATTTCGTATTTTAAGTATCTCATGTTGACCAGTTAAAGTAATCTTTAACTAGGGAATTTTCAAAGTATGTTTTATTAAAAGAAGTATATATTATTTCGTAAGGAAAAATATCCAGAACACATAAATATCTTTTTAGTTGAGAGGAAACTAATTATTTGCTTTAGTTTCGTCCTGGTACTCCCCAAATATGTATGAGTTGGAAATGATAGCCTCTCACTAACCTTGCAAGTACCTGCTTTAGTATATTTTGTTAAATTAATTATATAATCCTTTAACTTTCTG